TCAATTGCTAAATGAAAAGGACTGTCATGTGCAAATCCTATATCCAGTGAAACTGTCCTTCAGTAATGAAGGGGAAATCATTCTTGAATAAAGAAAAACTGAGAGAAATTGTAGCCAGCAAACCTACCCTAAAAAAATAGCTAAAGGAAGTTCTCCAAACAGAAACCAAGTAACAAAAGAAGGAAGGAATCTTACAACATTGAGAAGGAAGAAAGAACAACAGAAAAAGAAAAATATGGGTAAATATAATACATTTCCATTCTCTGTGATGGTTCATTTTATGTGTCATGTGGCCTAGCCCCTGGTACCCAGATATTTGGTCAAACATTATTCTATGTGTTTCCATGGAGGTATTTTTTTAGACGTGATTAACATTGAAATTAGTAGACTTTGAGTAAAGCATATTTCCTTCTATAATGTAGGTAGGCCTCACCTAATCAGCTGAAAGCCTTAATCAAACAAGATTGACCTTCCTGGAAGAAGAGGGAATTCTGCCAGCAGACGGCCTTTGAATTTGAACTTAGCATTGGCTCTTTGCTGGGTCTCCAGCCTGCTAGCCTACCCTGTGGATTTTGGACATGCCAGCCTCCACCATCATGTGAACCAAGTCCTTAAAATAAATACCTCTATCTCTCACATGTGCATGCTCTCTCTACATATACATATATGTGCATACATAAGAGACACCCACTCACATACACACCCTATTGGTTCTGTTTCTCCGAAGAACCCTGAATAATACATTCTCAAAAAAGAAAAGGCACTGTATGTGAAAGGAAGCACTGTTTAAATATTAAGAACAGTGAGTAACCTTGGAAAGTTTACTCTGTGTAAAGCATTTTGCCCACCTCATCCTATTTAACCCGGACACAAGCCCAGGTGAGACTGACATCACCTCCAGCTCACAGATGTGGAAATTCAGCCAGTGAGCATCAGAGGCAGGGTTTGGGCACACGTGTCTGATCCCTTCCCACCCTAGTCTCTTAACCACTGCAGTTCACAGCATCCCAGACTCCAAACTGCTTTCTTGGAAGCAGCAAGTATTAGGGAGAAAAGAATGGGCTTTCTGGAAGGGAGAAAAGCCTGCATGAAGGAGAGGTTGGAAGCCCAGAAAACTGTTTTACACGGCCTCAGAAAAGAACAAAAGGCAAAGAAGAAAAGATCCCACAAGGAGAAGAGCACAGCAAGAATCAGTCCAGGACAGAACAGAAAGTTAGGACTTGAGGGCTTTGGGGAGGTATCTTTTGTGCCAGCAAAGACACGGAAGCCCAGGAAGGATATGCAACTTGTCCAAAAATCGTTAGACAGTGAATGTCAGAGCAAAGACTGGAACCCACAGCTCCCGACCCCCAGGCCATTGCTTTGTGACATTGTAAAGGAATGAGTGGCTAAGAGCTTCCACTGCATCCCTTAGTTGTGAGTCTCCCCCCAACCCCCTAATCCCTGGAGAACACCACCACCATTTGAGCACCATAGTGTTTATCAGTCAGTACCAATTTGATGGCGAGTACATGCAGTGAGCATTGTGGAGGGGAAGGGCATACCTCTAACCCTTGCTAGGGAGAGGCAAAGATACAAAATGTAACCAAAATGTTTGTACTCTCATATTTTCCTGAAATAAAAAAAATTTAAAAAAAGAAGAGCTCCCACATGGGGTCCCTGCTAAGTAGAAAGAAGCGTGTCTGAATCTTGAGCTATCCAGGGAACCATACGCAGGTCAGGCTAGTATGAATTTGAGGAAAGAATCTGGAAAACCAAAAAGAAGGAACATGAATTGTTCAACAATTAATCTTTTGGTTGATATTAGGGCTTTCCAGACGCCTAGTCTAAGCTGGGAAATTGTTATACTAAAGGTTATACAGTTTTAATGCAAACATCTAGAAAGCTTTCCTTCTGATTTTTTGGGATGGAAGACACCTTGCTTTAAAAAGTGGTTGCTGGGTGGTGTCTCCAACCTCAACACTCAAATATGACCACTCATCTTTCAAATGCTGGCCACCACTGACCACCAGTAAGCTACTGTATGCGATTAGGATGACCACAAAGAAGAACTCTTTACCTTAAAATAAAATCAGAGTTGAAGCAGGTGAGTTAACAAAAAGTCATCATCAGGGATGAAGGATGAGGGGGACAGACCCAAAGGACTAGTGCAAGGAGCTCTTTCAACTGTCATGGTTTCAGTTTGTTAGTTTGTTAATATCCCCAAAGTTTCTATCAAGTGCCTCCAAGATGATGCCTCCCCCTGCCATTTCACAGAAGTGGTTTTATTATGATGCAGGCCTTCAGGGACAAGAAAGACTTCAGTACTACACTGTGGTTGAATGCAGTCTCCATATGAACTGGATGTTTTTGTCCCCTCCCCCACCACCACCACCAAATTTTATATGTTGAAATCCTAACCCCCAATTTGATGATATTTGGAGTTGGGCCCTTTGGGAGATGATTAGATCATGAGGGCCAGGCCCTCAGGTTGGAATTTGTGCCCTTATAAGAAGAAACACGAGAGAGCTTGCTTGCCCTCTCCCTGGCCTCTGGCATGTGAGGGTACATGGAGAAGATGGCCGTCTGTAAACCAGGAAGGGGGTCCTCACCAGACACCAAGTCTGTCGGCACCTTGATCTTGAACTTCCAAGCCTCCAGAACTGTGAGACTTACATGTTTATTTAAGCCACCAGCCTATGGTAATTTGTTACAGCAACCTAAACTGACTAAGACAACATCTCTCTCAGAAAGTGGTGTAAATTACTATAACTTTAATGGAAAGCACAAAATCCTTAAATATGTTCACAACCTCTGACCCAGCAAGTCCAAGGAAAATAACTCTGCTTATCTGGAGATAAGCAGAAAAGTACATGTATTTATTCCCAATTTTATGTAAAATGAGGAAAAGTTAGAAAAAATTAAAATTTCCAACCGGAAAATTACTAAATTATGGGCCATCCATTTGATAGGATATTATGTTGCCATTTTAAAATCATGTTTTCAACATAAGAAAATGCTCACAACCAAATGTAACATTTAAAAAATAATGGTATTCTAATCTGGGATTTGAGATAAATTTGGGAGAAATTGTTAGGTTAGGTTGTTAGGTTTCAAATATCTTTCTCTTCAGAAATATGGTATTTTTCTCCCTTATGTAGAATATTGCTTATATTTCTCAATGGAGTTTTATAGTTTTCTTTTAAAAGAACTGCAAATTTTATATTAAGTGTGTTTCTGGAATTATTTTTCTATTGTTAATAGAAATGCTTTTTTTTTTTTTTTTTGAGACAGAGTCTCACTCTGTTGCCTGGGCTAGAGTGCTGTGTGTCAGCCTAGCTCACAGCAACCTCAAACTCCTGGGCTCAAGCGATCCTCCCGCGTCAGCCTCCCAAGTAGCTGGGACTACAGGCATGTACCACCATGCCTGGCTAATTTTTTCTACATATTTTTTAGTTGGCCAATTAATTTCTTTCCATTTTTAGTAGAGATGGGGTCTCGTACTTGCTTAGGGTGATTTTGAATTCCTGACCTTGAGTGATCCTCCCACCTCAGCCTCCCAGAGTGCTAGGATTACAGGCGTGAGCCACCGCACTCAGCCTAGAAATGCTCTTCATTATATTAAAAGTGTTACTGATTTTTTTTTTTTAGAAGAGTGCAGTGGTGTCATCTTAGCTCACTGCAGCCTCCAACTCCTCACCTCTAGCCATCCTCCTGCCTCAGCTTCCCGAGTAGTTGGGACTATAGGTGCACACCAGCTAATTTTTTAATTTTTTGTAGTGACAGGGTCTTGCTATTGCCCAGGCTGGTCTCAAACTCCTGGGCCCAAGAGACCCTCCTGATTCAGCCTCCCAAAGTGCTGGGATTATAAGTGTGAACCACTGTACCTGATCAAAGTGTTATTGATTTTTTAGCAGCCATCCTGTTATAATTTTTAGGATTCTTTGTATTCTTCTGTTACATTTTATATGGTTCTAGAGGTCAGTGTAATAAGCATGAGGAAGAAATTAAATATATACAAATTCCAATAAATATTTCATTAATGAAAATGTGAAATTTGAAATAATAATAGCATACAAAACTACATATACTACAAATGCATTTTTGAAAAGTATAACTATCTATTTATCTATCTGCAGAGAAACAAGCCTGGAAGGAAATATCCCAAAATACTAATCATATTACACTGACTCTCAGCTCTATCAGATCCTTTTTTATAAAATATGTTGTAATGCCCATTAGTCTTTTTTTTTTTTTTTCTTTTTGAGACAGAGTCTCACTTTGTTGCCCAGGCTAGAGTGAGTGCCATGTCATTAGCCTAGCTCACAGCAACCTCAATCTCCTGGGCTCAAGTGATCTTCCTGCCTCAGCCTCCTGAATAGTTGGGACTACAGGCATGCGCCACCATGCCCGGCTAATTTTTTCTATATATATTAGTTGGCCAATTAATTTATTTCTGTTTATAGTAGAGACAGGGTCTCGCTCTTGCCCAGGCTGGTTTCAAACTCCTGACCTCGAGCAATCCGCCCGCCTTGGCCTCCCAGAGTGCTAGGATTACAGGCGTGAGCCACTGCGCCCAGCCTCCCATTAGTCTTCTTGAGGTAAAAATCATTGATAATGTACTGCCTACATAAATGATTTTTTAAAAATTCAATATATGCCCTAGCTTAATGTAAAGAATATATATAAAAGGAAAGTAGTTAATAATGTTTTTTTAAATTAGATTTAAGTATATAAACTCTTATGGCACAATTACACTAGAAAATACCAATGTCCCATAAATTTCCAAAACAATTCTTAAGGGGATATACCAGCATCTTTGAGTATCACTGTATTTGTAAAAAGGTGTGCAGAGGGTAAGATTATGATTTTTTAGTTTGCTTTTCTGTGGAAGATATTTTCCAACTTAAATGGATGTCTATTGCTTTTATATTCAGAAAAGTAGTGTTCAGGGTGGATGCCACATGATTATAATGCGTTCAATACAAGGGGAGGAGAAAGTCTCCAAGAAGACAACTTACCTCGAATGAGTATGCTTTCCCAATCCCATCTCCTGCTCCGGTGATCACTGCGAAAAGCAGGTGTGGGTTTAAATGACAGAATTCATCTTTAAATTTTTCTTTCCCACTGGCTACATGTTCTTGCAAGCCTAGTCTCCAGGACACTTAATATTCCAAAGGAGCATCCTCTGCCCTGGTCTCCAACCCACTCCACCACCAGCTCACCACAACCTTAGCTAAACGCTCAAAATGATGCTTTTTTTTTTTTTTTTTTTGGAAGGATTGGTGGGGCCATGGAAAGCACATTCCAAAATGAAACAAAGAACCTCAGCCAGGAAACATTTTATCCAGGCCCCATAAGGATTTAGATATTGTTAAGCCTTAATTCTACAAGGGCAAACATTGTTGCCTATTATCTCTCTACCCACCCACTCATCTGTAAGGACATTTCAAGGTTCTTTCTAAAAGTCGAGTTCTGCCTTTTCCCACCTTCACCCCCCAGGCCAGACAGCAGCAGTCAAAGCCTGTGGAAGTTAGGGAACTTAGCAAAGAGAAAAATACAGAAATGCAAAAAAGGAAATGCTGTGAAATCAAGGAACCTGAAGAATTTTTACCATCTCTTAATATACAACAATCAAATAGGTCTTCTAGTCCTTTTATATCCAACATTACACACACGTTTAATGGATGAGCTCTAGGATAAACCTCATTCGCGTGAGTATCACAATTTCAAAATTCACAATTTAGTATATATGTTCATACCTGCAATTTACTTTTGCACCAACAATTAAAGGATATTCTTTTTAAAAATGTGAACAAAAGATATATTTAGCTTACTTGAAAGTGAGTACAAGCCAAGTTGTACAAGCCTCAAGTAGCACACTGATAGAAGCACTCTCATTTTAATAATTACGAAGGATTTTATCTGTTCATTTAGGAACTTTTTATTATTTTTTTTTGAGACAGTCTCACTTTGTTGCCCGGGCTAGAGTGCCGTGGCATCAGCCTAGCTCACAGCAACCTCAAACTCCTGGGCTCAAGTGATCCTCCTGCCTCAGCCTCTTGGGTAGCTGGGACTACAGGCACGCACTACCATGCCCAGCTAATTTTTTCTATTTTTATTTGTTTGGCTAATTTCTTTCTATTTATAGTAGAGACGGGGTCTCACTCTTGCTCAGGCTGGTCTCCAACTCCTGAGCTCAAGCAATCTTCCCTCCTCAGCCTCCCAGAGTGCTAGGATTACAGGTGCGAGTCACCGCGCCCAGCCCCATTTAGGAACTTTTAAGTGGATCTGTGTATACTCTCTGTTCGTGTTGGTAGAAGGACTATGCTCAGTGTCATCTCACACATCACATTCCTCTCCATTAGGGAGAATCTTCAAAATCACCCACTGGAGGACTTGTACTATGGTTAAGACAGTAACATTGATAATGACTACCGGTGACTGTCAAATGCTTACTTTCTACCATGTACTGTTTCAAGTGTTTTAGATGCATCATCTCATTTAACGTTCAAAACAAACTTATATTGCAGGAACCATTATTAAGTTTATAGATAAGGAAGCCAAGGGAGGGAAAGTTCTTAACTTGATCAAGGTCACATTGCTAAAAATGCTGACAAAAGGATTTGAACCCAAGCTGTCTGACTTTGGGGCCCCAAGTCTATAAAAATATACTAATGTAATAATTAGGAAATCAAGCACAGAGCTCAAGGTACTTTATCTGAGGAGTTCAAAGATTTAGTTGCTAGTGATTAGATTTTCTTCTCACCCCCGCGCTTGAAATACATTATCTCCCTGATGACTGCCTATGCCCAAAGACATTTTACTCTAGCTAATGATAACTCTATTCCATCTGGACTTATAAAAGCAGGTTAAAACTATGGTTTTTCACTTTAAGTCAACAAATGCTCTAAGTCTTTGGCCTCATTTGAACTTCTTTTGTGATGTGTGTTCTTAGCTGGGCTTTGCCCCACACAGATGCGCAGTGGCTGTTCAGAGCCCTGTGTCCACTCAGCATGTAAGCATTTGAAATTGTGTGGAGTTGGGTATTTGGATCCAGGACACTCAAGTTTATGTTGCTGAGCAAGTTCACTACAGACAGCATACTGCCCTAAGAGGCAAGAAAAACACACACACCCACACACACACACACACACACACACTGCAAATGTAGGAAGCAACAGTTAAAAATCCATTTGTTACTTCAAACAATTTCTCATAGGGTAATATTTTTAAAATTTCCATTGCTAAGTTTGTAAATTTGCTAGGTTTAGCAAATAAGGATACAAAATGCCCAGTTAAATTCAAATTTCAGGTAAATTATGAATTTTTCAGTATAAGTATGTCCCATACAATTTGGGGGCTAAACATACTAAAGAATTATTCTTTGTTTATTTGAAATTCAAATTTAACTGGTATCCTATATTTTATCTGGCAGCCCTATAAGGCTTACATACGAAGGGTTATAATCTTTATTGTTTAGCCTGGGTGGTATTTTTAAAGTCACTGAAATTTTTTTAAGTCAATGGATTTGTGTGTGTGTGTGCCCAACTTTAAAATATAAACCTCTGTAAAGACCTTAGCATTTCATTCAAAGAAATGCCAAAACCATGACCTTATGCCCTTCACCTTAACCTCAATCATGAGGCTGAAATTCTGCATGGTGGTTCCAGTAGATAAATTCCTTTGGGAGGCAGCATTTAATCAATGCAAACCAGACCCAGATTTCATATGGAGATCTTTGTTGCCTTGATTCTGTAACATCCTTGCTTCATAAGAGTGATTGGACCATTATTTTTTAATAAAGTGAATTAAAAGTATTTGAATTTTAAAATTTTGAAACACCCTTTAACAAAATGAAAGCACCTTGGGCTTTTGCAAATCTAGATATGAGGACCTAAAGATTTTTGCATTATCTATTATTTGCATTATCAGAAAACCCCAAAAAGAAGACAACCCAGCTAGTGAGGCCAAGGACAAGCACATGGGCAAGAGTTAAGCAGCAACCTTCTCTAGTTATTCTCCTGAAGCCCCACATCTTGTGTTTCAGACAATTCTAATTTCACTCATATTTTCTAATCCCCCAAATTAAAATCCCCTGAATGAATTACATCTTTGCTCTCAAAGAGAAAAGATGCAGTATCTCTTTTGAGATGTAAATGATAATAATCAGGAACAACAACAGAACAAGATATGGAACTCTCCCCTTACCTGCCCACTGGCCCATTGACCTCAAGAAAGGTGTTGGCCAGACTTTCCAGAAGTTCAGTAAAACACATCTGAAGAATCTCACACACTTCACCAGGCAGACCAGGCACACCAGCAACCCTACGAAAATGAAGAACGGCTCTAGAACTTCCTCCATGGCTGTACTGCGGCAGATGCTGTTTCAGACGCAGTCCTGGCCCACTCCACCCAATCTCCTCCCGGGAGTCACTGGATGCATTCCATTAGGTCAGGGGCATTTAGATTAAAGTAACTTCTTTACACAATCCACTGATTCACAGCCTTTTGAATAAGGCTTTGTTACCTTGGAGGAGCTGGTGAAGAAGTAAAAGGTAAGAAAGTAAAACAAACCTAGACAAATAAAAAATGGCAGCCCAATGTCCTCTCCCTGAATTTGGAAATCAAAAAGGAGGCAAAAGCCAAGTCAATCGCTCTTGTATTTGACGAATATTTATTGCCTGCCTACGAAGTGGAATCTGTCATTCAAGGCATTGAGAAAATAACAGTGACCAAGATGGGGTCTCTCTGTCTTGGAGCTTAGATTCTGGTAGGAGAGACAGACAATGAACAGATACATAAGATAATGTCAGATACAAGTGCTGTAAAAAAAGCACCATTGAGCAATGTGTTTGGGTGACTACTTGTGTTTGGGGAATGCTTCAGAGAGGGTGTTCAGGAACAAATTCTGTGAAGAGGTGGAATTCTGTGTTGAAATCTGAATGAAAAGAAGGAGCCAACCCTGCAAAGATGAGGTTCTGGACTGATGGAACAGCTTTTCAAAGGCCCTAAAATGAGAAAGATCGGTGTATTTGAGGAATAAATAGGACTGTGCAGTAGAGGAACTGGTCTGCAGAGAGAAAGGAAAAGGCCAGAGGAGAAGAGGGGAGCCAGATGCTCTTTGTGAGGAGTTTGAACCTCTATCTAAGAACAACAGGAAATCATTGAGGAGGCTTAGGAAATAGAGTTGGATAATCTGAATTATGCTTTGAAGAGGTCACTGGATGCTGAGAGAAGACCTTTGGGGGTGAGGATGGAGGGTGGGTGCACCAACCACAGCAAGGAGCATGAGGAGAAATCTGAAGTCACCCAAGAAGAAGGACTGGCCAGGAGCCAGTCCTTGGCCCTCTCTCTTTTCTGTCTGTGTCACTCCTTTCGTGACATCATCCAATCCCTTGACTTGCAGGACTCCCTGTATGCTGAGGACCCCCAAATTTAGAACTTGGGCTGGTCCCCCTGGCTGGTTATCCAATCTTGCATACCTGCCTACTTGGTACCTCCGTCATAATGACTCATCGCTACTATAAATTTGTCATTATTTCTAAGCCTTTCTAGCACAAAACTAGGAAACACTTTTTTTAAGTGAGTATACTTCATAAGTCATTCAAATGTGGGATTCTATGAGTTTTACTTAATAGGTTTCATTTTATATTTGGATTATTTTTCTTTGAAACGGAAAATATTGATTCCTAACATCATATTTGTTTTTACCTCTGGGATGTGTATATATTTGTTTCTTTTGCTTTCAGTTTTTTTTCCTTTAAAGGTTGCATCTCTTTTATTCTTTGTGATTTAATTTTGTTTTATAAATGTGTAAAACATGGCTCCAAAGTCAAATTTACAAAAGAAAGTACATTCAGAAAAGTCTTGCACCTATCCTTGTGGTTTGCGCTCTATTCACTTCCTCTCTCTGTAGGCAACCTTATACTTTTATTTAGATTTGGTTATTCATCCATATTTTCAAATACACATTCATATGAATATGTTCACATACATGCACACACATATATACATGTGTCATTATACATAATCCAAATATATGTATACATACACCCACACATACAACACATTTTTACCACCTCTGCTTGTTTTTTTAGATGAACAATAGTATTTATTACATGCTTTCCTACACCTTGCTATTTTTTACTTAACCAAAAGTCTGTAATCATACCATAGTAGCATATAGAGATATTCTTTTTTTATTATTATTATTTTGTCTACATCTACAAGATACTCTATTGTATGGATGTACCATATTCATTGAAACTCCTGTGCATAATATTTGGATTATTTACAGTCTTTTGCTATTATAAATAGTTCTGCAATAAATAGCCATGTATGCTTACCCTGGAAGTAGAATTGCTGGGTCAGAGAGTAAATTCATATGTCCTTGTGCTAGATATTGTCAAATTTTCCTTCATTTAGCATTCTTGCTAACAGTGTGTGCAGGTGTTTGTTTTCCCCCTTCCCTAGCAATAGAATATGCTATCAAGCATTGGGATTTTTGCCATCTAATAGGTGAGAAATAGCATCCAATGTTAATTTAAATTATCTTATTAGCGAGGTTGAAGGTATTTTTGTAAGTCTGAAGGCTATTTGCATCTTTTCCTGTGAATTTCCTCTTCCTATCTCATGCCCATTTTTCTGTGTAGGTTTGGTCTTTCCCTTCTCTCTACTTAGAGATTCTTTTGGAACTCTAATTAGACAGACATTAGACCTTCTCTCTCTATCCATCATGTCCCTGTTCATTAATTGTCTCTTCAGATGTGTCTTATCATTGTTAAATCAGTCCGTTGTGGTTTTATTTTAATGACCTTAATTTCATTTCTTACAATTTTTTTCTCTTCTTTTTCAAAACCGAGGCTTTTTACTCTTATGGTTTTCTGTTCCACACAGATATTTTTGATTTTGACTTTCCTTATCTTAGCATAATTGTTTTATAATCTGACTTTAACAATTCCAATACCAGAATCAGCCTTTTTGTGGCTGTGGGGTCTTTCTGCTAGTTCTTACTCAGGTGCCCTGTTCCCTGTGCTTGGTAGTTCTTACCTATGCACATTTCATTATTCTTGGAAATTTCTGTGTGGGGTGTTCTGATGAAGCCATGTTCCTCCACGGAGGATTTGAATTTGCTTCTACCAGGTGCCCAGAGGAACTCTCAATTTTAACTAAATTAAACTAAGTTCATGGCTTGATTTCTCTAAACCCCTCCAGGGAAGTGAGTTAGTCTGTGAAGACACAACATGCTGGCCTGAGCTAATGGAGTCACAGGGTGGTTCTCTCGCCATCTCCACTCACCACCAGCTCTTCCACTCAGTGCCAAGGCTAATATCCTTGCTTTCCAGGAGCACATTTCTTCTGGATCACCCTCACCCTGAGAATGCAAAAGCCTTTGGGACCCCAGCTTTACGTAGTGATGTTCTTCTGTTAGACCCCTCCTGACCTTCGGTTTCTGTCCCCCTCCCACCAACATTGAAAGTCACACTCAGCCCGTCCAGCAAGGCAAGGCTGATGTGGTTTCAGTACCCAATCCACCTCTCTGCATTGCTACTTTCTCTTACTCTGGAATTTTGGGCTATCTTGATAGATTTTGATGCTTCTACTAAGACTTTTAAGAATATTTCCTTTACCCATACAAACATGAGTGAATCTCACATTTTTCTTGAGCAGAAGAAGCCAAACACAGAAAAGTGCTGTATATTAACCCAAACTTAGTGGCTTAAAACAAGGCCATTTATTATCTCACAGTTTCTATGGGTCAGGAATGCAGGTGTGGATCAGCTGGGGCCTCTGGCTCAAGGGTCTTTCCCAGATGGCAATAAAGTTGCGGCCCCGGCTGCAGTCACCTCGAGGTTCGACTAGGGAAAGATTAGCTCACTCTCATGTTTGTTGTTAGGATTCAGTTCCTCCTTGACTGTTCCTTGTTACATGGGCCTCTTCATTGGGCAGTTCACAAAATGTCCACTTGCTTCATCAGATAGAGCAAGTGATAAGAGTCAGAGAGATGGGAAAGATAGAAGCCACACTCTGTGTAACCTAATCTTGGAAGGGCTATCCTATCACCTTTGGTGTATTCTGTGCCTTAGAAGCCAGTACCTAGGTCCAGCGACACATTCAAAGGGAGGAGATCACATGAAGAAGTGAATATAGAAGTCAGGGATCACTGAGATCCATTGTAGAAGCTGCCTACAAGAACCACATACTACATGTTGTCATTTACAGGAAGGTCAAGAAGAGGCAAACCTAATCTTCAGTAAAATAAATCAGAACACTGTTTGCTTGGTAGAGCTGCAGGTATTGACTGGAAGGGTCATGAGGAACTTTTTTCTGGGTCGATAAAGAGGTTCTACATTTTGATAAGCAATGTGTTCACAAGGGTGTGACTTAATTAAAATTCATTGTACTGTGTACTTAAGGTCTGCTTGTAAATTATATCTCAATTTTAAACAAATTTTATCCTGCAGTTACTCTTTGGGTGGTAGATAATTTAGACACCCATAGTATCAGAAATGGAAATAGCAGTTCATTTGTGTGCTTGGTGTTAGACCAAGGTTTCCCCACGTTTACTTTTTAACATCAAAAGATATATTCAACCCCCATTGCAATAGATTGAGAAATTACATGCCAATTCTGACTGTAAATTCAGCATAGCTTTTAAATAAATTTATACTTTACTATTCACAAGATGCTATACTGAATTTTGTCCCCCCCCCCACTAAAATTCATTGAAGACCTAACCCCTAACATCATGATAACTGGAGATGGAGCCTCTCAGAGGTAATTAGATCATAAGAGTAGAGCCCTTATAATTGGATTGGTGTCCTTATAAGAAGAGATATAAGAGAGATCTCTCTCTTTCTCTCTACCATGTGAGGACACAGCAAGAAGACAGCCACCTGCAAGCCAGGAAGAGAGCCCTCCCCAGGAACCAAATGGGCCAGCACCTTGATCTTGGACTTCCCAGCCTCCAGAACTGTGAGAAATAAATTCCACTGTTTAAGCCACCTTGTTTATGGTATTTTGTTAGAGCAGTCTGAGCTGTCACAAGAGTACCTTGGAGCATTAGAAAATCAAATTCTTCATTGTGGAGACATGTTATTTTCCCAGCATATGTTAGCTGTTATTTTCTTCTCCACTAAAGAAATGCAATTGAATGAGTGATGTAATTATAGCAATAAAATTAACTCCAATGTCAAACTTTTAAATACATTATTTTTAAAACTCAATAAATGCTAACAAAAAAATTTTCCTTGTCATTCATCTAGCAATTCTGCATGGTGTGAAGAAAAATAGTTTGAGAACTTGGCCTCTGAAACTGGGATCATAAACTCAAATGCCTACAGTTGAGAAAGGCAGGTAATATAATTAATGAAATAGGCCAGGTACCTCGTGCTGTGTTCTTCTACCACAGGCACAGAGTAGGTGTGATTTTCACCTGCACAGACAGATAGATTCTCTTCCATTTTCCTTGAAACCTTGGCTCCCTTGCATTAGCTTTTATTTTCTTGCTTTCCTCTTAACCCTATTTTAAAAATACAACACTACAGCACACTGAAGAATACAGACTGACATTGCCTCAGCTCCAGGGACATAAAGAATTGGGGATGGTGGGGAATGTGGCAAAACAGAAACTGTCCACTCGACCGCAGCTCCAGCTGACAGTTGTCCTGGGGAAACTCCCCTCAGCCCTCTTGGGTAGCTGGGACTACAGGCACGCACTACCATGCCAGCTATTTTTTCTATTTTTTAATTCTGTTTGGCTAATTTTTCTATTTTATAGAGACAGTCTCACTCTTGCTCAGGCTGGTCTCCAACTCCTGAGCTCAAGAATCTCCCTCCTCGCCTCCCAGAGTGCTAGGATTACAGTGGAGCACCAGCCAGCCCCATTTAGGAACTTTTAAGTGGATCTGTGTATACTCCTCTGTTCGTGTTGGTAGAGGACTATGCTCAGTGTCATCCTCACGCATCACATTCTCTCCATTAGGGAGAATCTTCAAAATCACCACTGGAGGACTTGTACTATGGTTAAGACAGTAACATCGATAATGACTACTGGTGACTGTCAAATGCTTCACTTTCTACCGATGTACTGTTTCAAGTGTTTAGATGCATCCATCTCATTTAAATGTTCAAAACAAACTTATATTGCAGGAACCATTATTAAGTTTATTAGATAGGAAGCCCAGGGAGGGCAAAGTTTCTTAACTTGATCAAGGTCACATTGCTAAAAATGCTGAAAAAAATGATTTGAACCCAAGCGTCTGACTTTGGGGCCAAGTCTATAAAAATATACTAATGTTAATTAGAACAAGCACAGAGCTCAAGGTACTCTTATCTGAGGAGTTCAAAGATTTAGTTGCTAGTGATTGGATTTTCTTCTAACCCCGCGCTTGAAATACTTATCTCCTGATGACTGCCTATTCCAAAGACATTTACTCTAGTAATGATAACTCTATTCCATCTGGACTTATACAAAGCAGGTTAAAACTATGGTTCTTTCACTTTAAGTCACAAATGCTCTAAGTCTTGGCCTCATTTGGAACTTCTTTTGTGATGTGTTTCTTAGCTGGGCTTTGCCCCACACAGATGCGGCAGTGCTGTTCAGAGCCTGTGTCCACTCAGCATGTAACCATTTGAATTGGTGTGGAAGTTGGGTATTTGGATCCAGGACACGCTCAAGTTTATGTTGCTGAGCAAGTTTCACTACAGACAGCATACTGCCCCTAAGAGGCAGAAATACACACACACCCA